AGTTAGGGTTTATTTTTGTAGATCCCTATTTTACTTTTGTAGATCTATACTCTTTTATTTCAGATCTATGTTATATCATTGTTTATTTTAACATCTATCACTCTCTATGTATGCATATGTCTATGTGTGCGCGTCTGGTGGTTGGTGTGCATCTGGTTTGTTTGGGGGGGGGGGGGGGTGCACCGAGTTCGTTTGGGAGGGGGGTGCATCTGGTTTTGGGTTGATCTGTAATATATATGTCATGGTTATAAGTAGGATTCTGTTGAATAGCCAAAGATTCCATGTTATATTGTTTGAAGTTTGAAGAAATTGCTTCATCAAAGAATTTTTAAAGTTATAGCAGTAAGAAAATTACAGAAGTCCTTTTAGCTTATTTTTATAGATCTATACTGTATTATTTCAGATCTAAGGTTTATTTTTGTAGATCTAACTTTATATTTGAGGGCCTTTCTAGATAATTTACTCGAAAAGAAGCAATGTTATCTTTTTCCATCCTCACTCTAACCCCACAGACCTATCTCTCCACTTCTTGTAAATATTTTTAATAAACAAAGATAACAGAGAGAGAGAGAGAGAGAGAGAGAGAGAGAGAGAGAGAGAGAGAGAGAGAGAGAGAGGGAAGTACAATGGCAATGAACACTACAAAAAGAAAAGAAAACTCAAAACTTAATCAATTTATCACATTTAATACCTCGCCCTATGTAATTAGACAATAATTATTATATAAATAACAAAATATTCATGGCTAATCAAGGACCTATGTTAAAATTAGAAAATACTAATAGTGAAATCGATGGATAATGGTCATTATCTTTAGTTTATCATCCACAACTAATATCAAGACAAGACAATTAATTACTATATTCTGTTGTCCACTTTTTTCAGAAATGAGAATATTTAACTCATAAGATACCCAACCAAAAAAAAAACTTTAAATTGCAAGACTTTAAAAATCTCAAACACACATAAAATGCAAAATGAATACAAATTCATCATAAATTGATTCTCAAGACTAATAGAATACAAGACTTTAAATATCGTAGAAAGTCATGGCATTGTTAAGCAGACCAAAGTAGTTCACCACTCAAAGACAAGTTGAGACACTCACTTTGCAAGTAAATAAAAAAAAATACTTACTTCGCATTACATCTAAAATAAAAACAAGGGTGAAAGGAGAAGACGAATATGAAAAAGGTCATCTGCTATGGACAAAATTACAAAGCCCATGTAGGGAAGAAGAAGATGATGAAAAAGTAAAAAAATAATTTCATATGCTGAAAATCATGAAAAATCATCTTAAAATTTGAAGACAGAAAGTGACCACTAACAAGCAACATTAAAGGCATATCAGTAAGGGACATACTTGAAATCATTCCCCTTGTAGCTCATAGTAACTGTAGTTTTTTTTCCAATAGGTGACACACATTGCGACCTTTACCAAGGATTGTCAATTCTAAAAAGTCCTCTTCCACAATGAGCACAATGATTAGTGTGTGGGCATGTATAAGTAACTTTTTGTGATAAAGAAAAAGTATATACTATAGCATTTTTCCTCTTCAGAAGACATTCCCCTTGCTAACACTATATAGCACACTGTAGCTTTGTCTAAGAACAAAAAATAATCATATATTTGTAGAGAAAATCTAAATTAGTGTATTGCCTTTGCCTTTACCTCAGTTCATCATACTTACCCGATAAAATAGTAGAATTAAGTTCAATTAATCCACTATTTAGAAAAATGGATAAAATAGTAATTAAGTTTAATTAATCAACTATTTAGAAAAATAGATAAAACAAAACACATGTGCTTCTTCATCTAGTTAACAAATTAAAAAGAAGCACATCGCATATGAAGCCGAGAATGTAACTATTTGGAAATCTTGACATTCACCTTGGAGCATGTGTCTAGGTATACACACCTTGCATGCTATAAATTTATTTGTAATACAATTTGAACTATATCAAATAGGCTTAAGATACTTGTTCTCGTTGGTCAATATTTGCAAATTTCGAATAGAAAATTCTAAAAATTGACGCATCTAAATTCACAATTCAAGGATTAATGCAAGGTACAAAATATTTGTGATGATCTAATTATAGATATTTTGAATGTATTCAAATGCCAGGTGAGAATTAATCAAGCATTTGGTAAATTATATAACGCATACTCGAGTTGCTACATACTAAAAAATAATCAAATTTGATTGAATTAATAAACTTGAATATGACAAGTTATCAAAAGATAGAATGTATATTAATGGAAGAAACAAAATACAAAGATACAAATTGACAATAAGTAAAAGAAAAGTCACATGTCCAGATATTAATGATCATGCAACTGACTTTTACTCAAAAGGCATTATTTTAAATTGAAAAACCACCCCTCTAAGAGATGAAATAAAATTTTGATCAATAACATTATGCATTTGACAATAATTTTATACAATTTTTTTCTCCTTGTCACTCTAAATCTTATCACATAGATTGTGTAGACGCTTCAATTTAGCCAGTATAATCTTTGAAGACAAATTGTAAATTTTCAATTCTAGGTAGAAAATTAGATAATTAAAACTATAATGGCAGAAAAAATGATGGTGGAGAAATATAGCAAGAGAAATATATTTCAGTTGATCAATCTAACTCCGATAATTTTATAGTCATACATGCCCTAACTGTACTGGCAACAAATATGCAAGAAAAGAACTGCACTTTTTTCATGCTATTCAAGACAAAATCAATAGCGTTGATCTAGATCCACATCATTCCATGATACTGTACCAAGAGGCATTACAACTTTCTTAATTAAGCTACTAGAAAGAAATATCAATTGCATCTTCTCTAAACAATCACACAAAAAAGTAGCTTAATAGTTGAAGCATTCATGAGGTTATTGAGCAATGAATAAATAGAAAAATCCACTAACGTCAAGCTTGCATGGCAAAGATGGTTGAAGCTAGAGCATTACTTCCAGTAAAAGAAGGTTCATTTTATTCCAGCTCTTAACAAAATGAACTTTCAGATAGTCTGCTATTCTCCACCAACCAGAACTCTCATACATGTGAAGAACAGTCGGAAAAGCTGCTATGACAACAAATTAGAGCCACAAATCTTGGTTGTAGAATAACAACTAATTCTAAACAATCAAGAGAAAGAGATTAGGAGAGCGACAAATGGTAAAACAGATTTTTCAAAACGCAAGCCAAATTAGAGAGAGAAAGAGGGACGTCTAGATGGGTACCTGAAAAGTGATTTGGATAGTCATTTGGAATATGGAGGGAGACGAAAGAAAAAGATTTAGTCATCAATACAATTAATTATTGAACTAGTAAGGAATATGAAGAGAAAACAAATAAGAGTTTCAAAAATCAACACAATTATTAATAATTAAATAGGTAAATGGGCAAAAATATTAGCACCAAGACAATTACGGTAAGTAGGTAAATAAAAAGCATCAGTGACAAGACTGACTTTAAATGGTGGAGAAAAGCTAAAAAAGAAAATCAAAAGTTTTGAACAATATCTATAATTTACAGTAGTAGAGGTTGAGATATAGATATAACTATACATGTGGAAATGAAAGTATATAAAGGGTCATTTGCATATTTAATTAATATTAAATAATTAAATACATGAGGATTTATGTGTTTTTCATCTTTTTGACGAGGACATAATAGTTAATCAAAAGTTTTTTCACTTTGTTGTCGGTTATTAATAGTATACATATAGATATAGATATAAATAGATAGTGATGCATTAGACTTCTCATAGTAATTCACTATTGCATATGAAAAATGGAGAAAAGATAAACTCGTTAGAAGAAATATCAAGAAACAATTAGTGTAAATCATATCTAGTGCTTGGAAATAAATTTAGATCTTTATGACTAGCGGGAGATAAGGTCGGATAAAAGGCCATTCAAATTCGTTTACTTATTAAATGAATTGGGCTCAAACTCTATTTTAAAATCGGACACACTTTGTAAACAAATGAGCCAAGCCCAAATAATCTAATACTTGGCTTGATATGGTTCATTAACTCTCTTTTATATCCGATAATGCAAAAAATAGGCTTATGCACAATCAACAGTTAAGTGCATGATTTAGAATAATTAATGAAGCAATCAATAAAGCAATAAATGAAAGAAACAAATATTGGATCAACAAAAATAACGCACAGATATATAATGATTCAGTTAGGGTGACTTACTCTACGTTGAAAATGGCAACGGTGGCTGGTGGTTTTTATTGATGAAATGGTAAGGGGGAGAGAGAAAGAAGGTATGCTCTTGGTAGCTATGAGAGAGATAGTTATACAAGGTGTGTAGAGAGTTTACAATTTATAAGAATAGAGCCTTGGTTGAGGCGGTGACGTGATGGATAGGTTACTAGCTTTTTATAACTACAACTAGGATAGGTACAATTAAAAATAGTCTTGATTTTCGAGAGCTGCTATTCCGATGATTACTCCTCATGTGCGCTAATCTTCTTGGATCCATTGTACTTTAGGTTTGAACCAAATCTATTAACTGAGCCTGACCCAATTGAATCTGGGCTCATCATTTGCCCCCCATGCCCCAAGCCCCCATTGCTTGCGAGGGGATTGAGGGCATGCGTGAGCTCCAAATAGGCAAAAGATTTCTTCTTTTGCACGATGACTTCTTCATTCATCTGCAAAATTTATTCCCTTATTTGGCAACACCGCATCTACCGCTTTGTTAACTATCAACCCTGTGTTAGGTTCTGCACTACACTTGGACTCCCTTTTTATCTAGAGCACCAACCCTTAGGATCTTAAAGAACATTCCCATCTTTTCCCAAAACATCTCCTTTGGAACTAGGGCTTAGAAACACCCTTCTCCTCATTACTCCATAATCCATTAAGAGAGAGGCTTAGGAATATGATTGGGAAAGAGATCTCAACGCCAAGGGGAAACACGGAGGAACCCATGATCGGCACCATTGGTTCCTCCGTATTCAAGTAGATCGGTGGCCAAGGAGGCGATGGAGCTAGCCCTGCCAGTGCAGGAAGGCTGGGGAACACCCATGGAGCGGCTAACAACGGTGCATTTGGCGATGTCACAAGAGGCAACGAAGAGGGCGACGCCACAAGGGGCATCGAAGGCGGTGCCCATGGTGCGATTGGATACACCTCAAGGGCTGGAAATGTATGAGGTGACGTTGGTGAGTTGGGCTACGCCCCATATGGTTTTGGCGATGCCGCTGGCTTGACAGGCGACACCCCTAACTCGGTTGACCTGGGTGATGCCCCTAGTATGCCACATATCATCGACTGCTGATTGGGTGCGAATAGCGACGCCTTCAGCAACATTGGAGCAGGCTTGGGCTTGGGCGACGTCGAATCTGCCTCCAAGGGTTTGGGCAATGTCAGGTCAGCTGCAAAGTCCTCAGGATCGACCCAAGCAGGCAACACTAGCGATGGGCGAAGCTTGAGCGACGTCATTCAAGGCAACATCGATGGAAGTCTTGGGGTCAATGCCTGGGTCGCAGGCTAGCCTTGGCATTTAGGCGACACTTGCAGATGCAGTGCCAGGCTGGGCAATGCCTTGCAGGCGCAAAGGTGATGCCCGGCAACGTCGACAGGTGTTGGGCGTCGCCTTGGGCAACTGGCGCTAGTGCTAGGCGTGGACACTAAGGATATGGGCAACGCATTTGGAGTAGGAGGCGACGTCAAGGCCAGTTGGGCGGTGCCCTGAGGTGACGCTGGTTGACACAGGGGGACGCCATGGTTGGTTTGGGTGACGCCAGGGAGGCCTGGGAGAAGTCAAGAGAAGGGAGTGCGTGCTGGGCGCCAACCGGAGTATCAAAAATCCATGAAAAAATGGGAAAACTTTAAATGGCTGTAACTTTTCCCTTAGTTGTCCGTTTGAGGCAATTTGTTTTTGAATTTGGGTATTTTTTTCGAGATCTATGACATATGCTGAAAGTGGTTTGGGCACCAAATTTCTCTAAAAAATGCTTCTTTCTCACAGAATTTGAGTTTTTAACACAAATTAGTAAAATCGATGACGGTGGAAAGTTGCGCTCTAGCAAGTAGTTGTAAGGCATTCATGGGTGGGTTAGCATTCTGGGTTTTGCCAGAGGGAGACTATGATGGCTTTCAGTTAGGTAGGAGGCAAAACTGCTTTCTCCAATCCTACTTTCACCTTAATGTTTTTTCGATGTTGCTTCTTTATATTGACCTTGTCTCTGATTACAGGCGCCCTTGTTGATAGAGTGATGGTGAAGGCTCTCGATGTTTCTAGGGCGACGCCTTCCCCTCTTTCCAAGAGGACAAGGTTTGATGTCGCTAGTGCTTTTTGGCCGACGTCCAATAACAAGGTTGCTTCCCGGGAGTGGAATCCGTTGGTGCCCCCACTCCTTCCCAATCTATGACTCCTGTGTGTACTGGGGCTAGCCCTTTTACCGCTGTGAGAGTTGAGAATCTAGTGCAGTCTTTTATGGGGACTGTAGCTCCACATAGCTGCCCTCCTTGTGTAGTCTTCTACGGTTGTATCTCGAGGTCCAAAGGGAATTGTCAATACCGCGATTGAGGGGTTTTTTCATGGTATGTTTTTTTTTCTCAACTTTGATTTTGTACCCGCCTCATTTTCTTCATGTTTTGCTTTTTGAATGCTTGTAGATGACTGCCACTTTGCCCTACCTTTTTTTAAGAACGATCAAGCTTGGAAAGACATTCAATGTTCTAACAAAAGAGAGGCAAGCACAAAAGGTTGTTGAGGAGCATTTGAGGTTGGCTTATGAGAGAGTAATACCTCTTGAGGCCAAGCTTTTGGCGACTCGTGGGAGAGGCTCTAAGTTGGGGATTGAGGTTGTTTGAGAGCAGAGGTAGGATTAGATCGAACTTTCTAGCAACTCGCAAGAGAGTGCGAAGCTGGAGACATAAACTGCTTAGGATTAGAGATAGGATTAGGCTGAGCTTTCTGGCGACTCGCGAAAGAGTGTGAAGCTGGAGACATAAACTTCTTGGGAGTAGAGATAGGATTAGGCCGACCTTTCTAACGACTTGCGAAAGAGTGCAAAGTTGGAGACATAAACTGCTTGGGAGCAAATGTAGGATTAGGCCAAGCTTTTTGGCAACTCATGAGAGAGCGCGAAGCTGAAGACTGATAAAGAGACAGTCTGCATGAGAGTAGATTCAGCGTTGCAAATGTCCCATGAGAGGGTCGCAGAAGCTAAGACCAAGCTACGTATAACTCAGAAGAAGGTCATCGTGGCAGAGGTTGACCTGCGAGTAACTTGTGAGAGAGCCACTAGGGCAGAGGCTCATTCTATTGAGATGGAGATGAGGAATGAGGTTGCTAAGAGTGTCATTGCAGGTGCCTTTATTGATGGTTATGAGAAGCTTAGTAGCTTTCCCTGGTATTGAATTCTCTGGCTTCGTCTCATATGAGGCATTAGGAGCAGATGGTGACGACTTTCATCTTTTTGTCTACTTTATTATTAGGTCATGTTCTGACTTTTGTAAGTTGTTTACAAACTTTATAAAATGAAAGCAAGACAGTTCTGAACACAATAACTTAGCAAAGTTTTATTTCATAAAATAATAAATAACAAAATAAATCAATTGAAACAATAAAAGACAAATAAAATGAGAGCCACCGACTTGTACTTGCTATTGATAATAGCTCTTCAAGTGTTCGACGTCCCATAGGTGGGCCAAGGTTTTCCCATTTCAATGTGCTGTCATACCAAGCACTTCCATCTATAGGGCCTCTTAGGGTTTCTTGATCCTCATAGAAGTTACGTAGCATTCTTTGGCAGAAACTTGGTCTCCTCTACCTTTTCCGATCCTACAAAGAGTTGGAAAATTAAGAACAATGTGATAGGTGAACAACACTACCCTTAGATGTTGAGTGCAAGGCATCCAAGTATGAGGTTGTAGGCAGAGGGGTAGTCTAGCACTATGAAGTTTACCATAATGGTGGAGTTTTTTGGTGATTTACCTACTGTGACTGGCAATGTGATAGAACCCAAAGGATAAGCCTTCTCACCCGAAAATTCGATGAGGGGTGTTCTAATGGGTTGTAGTCTTTCTCTGCCTAGATGAAGGCTATCATAGGCTGGTGCAAATAGGATGTCGGCAGAGCTGCCACTGTCTACCAGAATTCTCTTAACCTGGTAGTTGGCTAACATCATGATTAAGACTAGAGGGTCATTATGGGGTAATTGAATCCCCTAGAGGTCCTTGTTTGAGAATGTGATGACCACTTATTCCCTATGAAAAGGTGTCTTCGTCGGGCAAGACTCTACCTGTCTGGCTTTTTTGGAGTGGGCTTTTCTGGCAGAGTTGGATTCGCCTTCTCCTCCTAGCCTTCCGAAGATCATTGGAATTTCTCTGCAGGATTATTGGCATTCTCTGTCATCTTGTTCCCGACTAGGTGGTGAGGTTTGTTCTCTTCCAGCAATGTACTGCCTTAACTAGCCATATTGTATGAGCTCTTTGATCTGTCTCTTAAGCTCATGGCAATCATCAGTGTCATGGTCACGGTCGCAGTGGAAGCGGTATTTGTTTGAATTTCTTCGGTTCGGGGTGGACTTCATTTTCCCTAGCCATTGCAGAGTAGGGTCGTTCTGTATTTGGAATAGGATATGCTCTACCGAAACATTAAGCGGCGTAAAGGCTTACTGTTCTCTCAAAGGTGGGAGACCAAGGCGGTTTTTGACAAAGACTCTCTTTGTCTTATTCTTATTGTTCTCTACTTCTCTCCTGTCTTCGTGAGTATCTTTTATTTTCTCACCCCCACGGGAGGACTCACCTTGTCAGGCTTTGGTGACGTCCTCGGCATTCATATACTTTTGTGCCCTTGACAGTAGTTCGAGCATGCTGGAGGGCAGCTCTTTTAGGACAGAAAACATGAAGCTTAAGGAGCACAGTCCCGCAATAAAGGTAGTCATGGTTACCTTGTAGTCTGGCTCCTCGATCTAGAGAGCCTCCTCATTAAAACGAGTGAGGTAGTTCCTAAGACTTTCATCCCGATCTTGCTTGATGGTGAGCAGGTGGGTAACCGATTTCTGGTGTCGGCGTTCCCAAATGAAGTGGGAGACAAAAGATTTGCTCAACTCTGTAAAGGAATGGATGGAAGAAGACTTGAGCTTCGCAAACCATTGTTGTGTGGATCCTTTAAGGGTGGTAGAGAAGGCTCTACACATAATCTCATCAAGTACGTTGTGGAGCTACATGATAGATTTGTATGTGTCGAGATGATCAAGGGGTCATTGATGTCATCAAAGATCTTGATGGCAAGCATCTTGAACTTTGAGGGCAAAGGGTGGTTGACAACATCCGCTACAAACGAAGTGTCAATATGCCTTAACAAATAATCTATCGTCTCTGGCGCTTGTGCTTTGATGGAGTTGAGGGCATCGCCAAGCTAGTTTTGCACCTCCCTAATCTTCTCGTCCATTGGTTAGGGACGTCCTCCATTGGATCATTATACTAGCTCTCGTGATCCGCATACTAGTTCTCTCCCTCATCCTCCTGCCCAAGATGGTCGGTCGTGTGTGGAGTAGGTACATGAGGAGGGAAAACATGTGAGGCACCTACGCGTAGTGAAGGGACTCCCTAGCGAGGGGTGTCCTGGCGTGATGTGCCACGATGGGGAGCACCTTGGCGCCCAGAGTAGGAAGGCTGTGGCACCTCTCCAATTGGAGGGAGTCTTGTTCCCACAGGCTGAGGGGGGGCACCTCCTAAGGTGAGCATCAGCTGGATGATTTGCTGATTTTGAGTTACCAACAACTGCATGGTCTTCAAAAGTTGTTGCCTGACCACAGGAGTTGCTGCAATGAATGGTTCAGCATGTGCAGGCAAAGGCGGAGCCTCCTCCTGGCGGGTTAGGTTGTTGTCCTCCGATTGTTGATTCATCGACCTGATTGTAATTATCATAGATTTGAAAGAGAATAACAAGGTAGTAGAAAATTCAAACGTTTCTCACAGACAATACCAAACAGATGATGCACAAAATAAACTTATACACAATCAACAGTCGAGTGTATGATTCAGAATAATTAATGAAGCAATTAATGAAAGAGACAAATATTGGATCAACACACAGATGTATAATGGTTCGGTCAGGATGACCTACTCTACTTTGAAGACGATAACGGTGGCCGGTGGTCTTTATTGATGAAATAGTAAGGGGGAGAGAGAGAGAGAGAGAGAGAACAAAGGTATACTTTGGGTAGCTATGAGAGAGATAGTTGTGCAAGGTGTGTAGAGAGATGCCTCTCTCATGTGGCGAGTGCTTACAATTTATACGTATGGAGCATTGGTTGAGACGGTGACGTGATGGATAAGTTACTAGATTTTTGAGGAGGATAACTACAACTATGATAGGTATAATTAATAATAGTCTTGATCTTCAAGAGTTGTTATCCCGATTATTATTCCCCATGTGCGCTAATCTTCCTGGATCCATTGTACTTTTGGTCTAGGCCGAATCCATTAATTGGGTCTGACCTAGTTGAATCTAGACTCATCAATATCTTCATTTTA